TGTTTCACATTAATGCTCTATTACTTACCCTGCAGGTACGGCAGCACACCCTGCATTCCCATTTCTTCCAAAGCGTCCTCCAGCCTTTTGGGCGATTCTCTTTCCATTGTTTTTACGCTGCGACGCGGATCTCTTACTTGCACTTCACGTTTTCAAAGAAAGGCAGCTATGCAATCGACTAGCCGAAAAGAAGATATCGACCGATAACACTGATGTGTATCGATATACAAAAATGTGCTCGGTTGTACAAAAATAACGTGTAATCGTATGACTGTGAAACAACGCTTAATTTATGGATTTAAATGTTTTTTTTTTATAATTCTGTTGTTTTTATAGACATTAAAATCAGAATTAAAGCTATAAAATATATTTTCTCTGTGTATTAAAAAAAAACTTTTAAGTATTATTATCAAGTAGGAGCCGTACTTATTCTGCACACATTCGTCCTAAAAATATTAAGGATTATTCGGCCGATTTTCAAGTACGTCCGTACTAAAATTATTCGTGTTACTTTTTTCTGGGTGCAATCGTGTTATGTTGGATAAATGCGAAAGCATCGAATTTTCATACATTCGTTGCAAATATGTTGTCGAAAATACAAGAAACAACCTGTGCGAAACAATGGAGACATGTGTCATCAAATCTCAACGCCGCAGATGTACTATCTAGAGGGATTCCCGCATCCCAATCAAGCCCTATTTAAAGCTCCAAAGGATAACACTAATTCTTTGGAACGGAAAATTAAAATTGCCACATTGGCAACATGTTCACTAGGAGAAAAAATATATCGAATTAAACATGGAAACTCGTTTAATCGCTTGCACCGTATAATTGCATAAATGTTACGATTTTGTTATCTTAAAAATAGAAAACAAAACCGAGTTTGATGAATTGGAACAAGCTAGGCGGATAATTATACGTTGTATACAACAGGATGACTTCACAAATGAATTTAATCCCCTAAGACGTCATCCCTAACGACCATTACTTAATACCAAAAAGGTCGCTTCTCTTCATCTTCATTTGGACTAAATCTCTATCATAAGAGTAGGAACAATGGTGGAAAATGCCCGAATTTCTCGGGATGCAATGAATCCCTACTTAATACCATATAATGACGAGATCGTCAAACAGCGGCTACATAAACTTCATTGTACGACAACCGTATCACATTATCAAAATCACTTCCATAGTTAGAAACGTTATCATGAAATGCGTGCCATGTACCAGGTTTCGTCCGAAATTGCTTTTTCTAAGGAGAAAATAAACCGTTTTTAAATACCGGAGTCGATTATTGCGGACCCTTCTGGATACACCACAAGGTCCGAAGTTCGAACTTCTTTTTTGTTGTTTATATCGAAGTAATTCGGAGCAGCGCACACTGGTCCCAAAGTCCAAAATTTGTGCAGTAATTAGAAAAATGGAGATATACGCTTGAAACTTGGTACAGTTAATGGTTGTTGGATATAAAAAGCCTGCGCAAAAATGGTTTGCGATCGGGCCACGCCTTCCTTACCTCCCCTTATAAACAACAAAATTACTCATACGTCCGTTTGTCAATTGATATTGCTTTCAGTTTTACATGGCTTAGATTTTAGTTTCTTATCAGAAAATAAATATTTTAAATGAAAAAATAACTAAAATAGAAAATGAGGAAAGTTTTCGGCTAATTTTATTTATTTTTTTTATCACATATATTTATTAAATTAATCATTTTCTACATCTAAATCAAAAGAATAGTCATTAGTAAATTCAGTTGTGTCCAAGTCATCTCCATCATCATGTGCATCATCTGTATTAATATTATTATTTAAGAAATTGACATTTGGCCTGCACTTATCTTTTGCAGCGATAATTTTTTTGTAGCTCGGATAAATGTCGCAATTCCTGCATTTACTTTGCAGCCTTATGCTCATATACTGTTTTTTTGTAAAGCCGTTTTCAATTAAAAAGTCTAAGGCTTCTTCTGGAGTGAAAGGTACAGGCTCTGCTTTGGAAGATACTTCCTCAACGGTCAATCGCGCCTTTTTTGCAGCCAAGTTTGCTGCATGAGCAAGAAGATTAACGTCGTTATTATTTTTAGATGAAAGATCGGCAGCTAATCTTTGCTTTAATCGGCAACTTCCTGCATCATAGTTTAGTCGTGGGCGTCCTGCATTTTTGGGGACCTCTTCCATAAAATCAGATGGTAATAATTTGATTTTGAAACGTAATGCGAGCCAATTTTCATGCTTCTTCTTAAGTCTTGAAACATCCCGGTAACAATTGTTTAACCGTGTTTTTAATGCAGCAACAAAGTTTGCTATTTTCTTGTCTATTGAGTTCTTTATATGTTCCTTTAATGTTTTAATAATATGCTGCAGCACAAAATCATAAATACTTTTATTTTCACGACCATTTGCCAGCCAAACCTCTACCATTTCAGCATAGCTCAAATCGATGTTGTCTGTCAAAAAACAATATTTCATGGAATCGGGCAAAAACGGGCAAAAAAAATTAGTGTAATCAAAAAATATATATGTTAAAGATAACATCTGTATCAATAGTTTCTTAAATACGATTAAATACTATATACCTTTATTCCACGGAAGACGACAAAAGCTAGGTTAGAATTGCTAAAACACATAACATCACAAAAACACATATTAATAAAGAAATTACACATATAACAAATATTGCAATATTACATAATATTTCACATACCTGCACAATTATCATCCATTTTTAATTATTGCAATCGAGATATTAGATTTTACACAATTTGTTTTCAAACTTTGCATTAATTTCACGAGAAAGCAATGCCAAAGTTTGCGGTAAACGATCAGCTGATTTCCAGGACTGCCAGCGATCGCAGGGAGTCCTGAATATTACTCTATCGCAATAAAATATTGTTTTTGCCCAACTCTTAAAAAAAAATTGGATTCTTGCATAAATTTTGGACTTTGGGACCAGTGTGCAGCGGCTGAAAACGGGAAAGGGGTGGGCGGAGAGGAAACGGAGAAAAAAAATCAAAAAATTCAAAATGTCAAGAACAAAAAGTACTGTGTAGACTTTTGAATACCTTTTTTTAGAAGCGCTAGTATATTTATTAATTTTTTAGTTGATATATAAATGATTTTTATTGATTTAATGTAATAACATTTTGGAAGTCATTATAAAGTTGCAATAGGCAACGCCAAAATGTTTATGTTTGATTATCTGCCTAATGTGATTTTAACTATAAGGCATTGTTATGGCACGCGTCAGGCAGAAATTTCGGTTTCCCCTTCCCTTTGCACTTGAATTTGACTGCAATAGAGTAAGGAAGTGTCTTTAAAAGGGAAAACTTTAAGCGATATTTAATTAATAAATAAATAATAGATAAACAAATATATTTCCTCATTTGAACTATGGTGTCTAAGCGTGGCAAAAGCGTAAATCGCGGTAAAATAAAGTTGTTAAATAACTGGCTGCCACGGAATCCATTTGTGCAAATGAATTTATTTTTGGTGATAAAAGTTTATGTAAAAGTGCTGTTATTGTGAAATTTATACGCGTCTCAAAAGTTTGGTTAGGTCAGATTGAAAAGTTTCAAAAACCAATTATCAAGAGTAAAATTTCACGGTGTTTAAAAAAAACTAAAAACATTAGATAAAATAATAATAATAAACAAAAGCAAACACAAATAAAAATAATAAATAACAAATAAAATCTGTGTTTTTTCTACAGATTAAAACCATCACCGCAATCCTGAAGCGGAACAACTTGCCGAAGGCTTAAAAGGAGTTTTAGCAGAGCCTATTCTTTGCGGGCTTAACATACACGGCGTCAACGTAAAAAAATTAATAGCAGCAGATAAAATAATAATAATAAATAAAATTAATAAAATAAAATAATTAAAATAAATAAAATAATTATATTAAATAAAATAAATATATTAATAATAATAAATAAAATAAATATAATAAATAAATATAAGATTATTTATATATTTATTTTTTTTTACATTTTTTTTGTATATTTTATTTTTCCTAAGCACTGTAAAGTTTTTATTCGTGATAAAAATTTCACACAAACTGTTTTTTTATCATAATATTTTTTGCAAATATTTTTTATTTATACACTTTTTTCCCCGTATTTTTACATGTTCCCTTATAAATAATTACAAACAAATAAATAATAACACAATAAAATACGTTAATAAGAAGTCATTCAATTGTCCAAATTAAAATAAGCAAAGGGAGAAAATGGTTGGCTCAAGGCATATTAATAAATTAGCTGCAAAAGAAAGGAAGGCTTTATTGAGGCGATGTGCTCTACGAAGTCAAAATGAAATAAAAAGCGAGAGCGTAGATGTAGGTGCAGGGCCTAGCACATCAGTGAATAGGGGATCTTTGGATCCACTTTTGGGGGAAGATGAAATAGGAGTTAGTGCTATTGACGAAGTTAGCTTAGTTTCACATGCACGAGATGACTGTGATTTGAATACACAATTAAAAAATTGGTATTTAAAACATAAGCCAACACGGGAATGTGCCATGGAACTAATTGAGATTTTAAATGCTCATAAGTTGAAAATAAAGCCCTTTTATAAATTTAATTGTTTCGAAAAACCCGATATAAGTAAAGTAGAGGGCGGCTCCTATTTACATATTGGATTATCGAAACAATTAAATAAATTATCAGTGTTTCCCAAATTGCCGGTTGTACTGAGCATCGATTTAAACATTGACGGACTTCCAATTTTTAAAATTTCCAGGCCACAGTTATGGCCCGTTCTAGTAAGAATAAATAATATCAATGCTCGCCCAGTTTTGCCCATTAGAGTTTTTATTGGCCATGATAAGCCATTTAATTGCGACGAGTTTTTGACGAAATTTACGTCCGAGATGTCCGAAATAATTAAAAACGGTTTAACCATTAATAAAAAAAAAATTGGTTTGGAAATAAGAGCCATCGTTTGCGATGCACCTCGATCATTTATTACTGGCACGCCTGGACATACGTCTCTCCGCAACTCGTGGGACCCCATGAAAAAGAACAAAAGTATAAAAATCCCGCAGGATATCCCCTTCTGGTTCCGGCCTCCGGTTCCTCGCTGATTAAGTAACTTTTCGACAGGACACAACTCTGCGGTCTCTGACATGAGTGACAGATCGGTGGTAAAGAATGGATTTTTTAATTATTTGCGCAACTTCTGTCAACGCAATAGTGCCCTGAGCTGGCCGGAAATCGCAAGGGAGGGGCCCCGGTCCTGGAAACACCTGAGCGAGGAGAAAAAGAGTCGCTACCAAATCATGTCCAGCACTGACACGAACATCGTTGCCTTGCAAATGAACAATAAAATGTGCAACCATCCAATGGGCAGAATGGGCGGCGGCATGATAAATAAAATTCGGCCCAATAAAATTCAAAAGCTCATTTTCTCCTTGGATGGTAAGTAAACAAAATAAAATCCAACTAATTCAATTTTTATATTAATACAATTTGTATTTCTTAGAAGACGACTTTGTGATGGAAACGACACGGCCAATCTGACAATTACACGTCCTCGTGTACTGTAATCTTAATATTTCAAATGACTTATAAATCCCAGATTATAGCTTGTGTTTTCTTTAACTCATCAATTTCAAATACCATTTATTTATTCGATAAAATTTTTCTCTTATTTCATAATCTTTCATTATTTTACATTCTACACAACATTATACACAAATTTCAATTCTTATTCTCATTGCATAATCGAATTCATTTTAACATTTAATTCATTGCATTTGCTTCTCAGCTATTGAATAACCCTATTCTATTATCAAAAAAAACATAACACAACACTGAATTTAGTATTTTGATCAGACCTATAGTCTGGTCACATTTGAATTTGCCTCTTTCCTTTTTTTGAAAAAGAACAAAAGTATAAAAATCCCGCAGGATATCCCCTTCTGGTTCCGGCCTCCGGTTCCTCGCTGATTAAGTAACTTTTCGACAGGACACAACTCTGCGGTCTCTGGGGCAGGCACTCACTACATCAGTTTCCCTTCATGCAGGACAAACTAATTTTATTGCACTTAATAGTGGGCATAGTGGACAAAAATGGGCAGTTGAGAGGGGAGCGCCAATAACAATCTACTTTTATATATATATCTCTTTATTTTTCATACTCAGCTTGAATATGTCCTTTAGCAAGTCAGAAGAAGTGGACGGAAGCCATAACATGAGTGACAGATCGTTGGTAAAGAATGGATTTTTTAATTATTTGCGCGACTTCTGTCAACGCAATAGTGCCCTGAGCTGGCCGGAAATCGCAAGGGAGGGGGCCCGGTCCTGGAAACACCTGAGCGAGGAGGAAAAGAGTCGCTACCAAATCATGTCCAGCACTGACACGAACATTGTTGCCTTGCAAATGAACAATAAAATGTGCAACCATCCAATGGGCAGAATGGGCGGCGGCATGATAAATAAAATTCGGCCCAATAAAATTCAAAAGCTCATTTTCTCCTTGGATGGTAAGTAAACAAAATAAAATCTAACTAATTAAATTTTTATATTAATACAATTTGTATTTCTTAGAAGACGACTTTGTGATGGAAACGACACGGCCAATCTGTTATCTTAATATTTCAAATGACTTATAAATCCCAGATTATAGCTTGTGTTTTCTTTAACTCAACAATTTCAAATACCATTTATTTATTCGATATATTAGCTTACGCTTAAAATTTTTCTCTTATTTCATAATCTTTCATTATTTTACATTCTACACAACATTATACACAAATCTCAATTCTTATTCTCATTGCAAAATCGAATTCATTTTAACATTTAATTCATTCCATTTGCTTCTCAGCTATTGAATAACCCTTTTCTATTATCAAAAAAAACATAACACAACACTGAATTTAGTATTTTTATCAGACCTATAGTCTGGTCACATTTGAATTTGCCTCTTTCCTTTTTTTGAAAAAGAACAAAAGTATAAAAATCCCGCAGGATATCCCCTTCTGGTTCCGGCCTCCGGTTCCTCGCTGATTAAGTGACTTTTCGACAGGACACAACTCTGCGGTCTCTGGGGCAGGCACTCACTACATCAGTTTCCCTTCATGCAGGACAAACTAATTTTATTGCACTTAATAGTGGGCATAGTGGACAAAAATGGGCATTGCATAATCGAATTCATTTTAACATTTAATTCATTCCATTTGCTTCTCAGCTATTGAATAACCCTATTCTATTATCAAAATAAAACATAACACAACACTGAATTTAGTATTTTGATCAGACCTATAGTCTGGTCACATTTGAATTTGCCTCTTTCCTTTTTTTGAAAAAGAACAAAAGTATAAAAATCCCGCAGGATATCCCCTTCTGGTTCCGGCCTCCGGTTCCTCGCTGATTAAGTGACTTTTCGACAGGACACAACTCTGCGGTTTCTGGGGCAGGCAGTCACTACATCAGTTTCCCTTCATGCAGGACAAACTAATTTTATTGCACTTAATAGTGGGCATAGTGGACAAAAATGGGCAGTTGAGAGGGGAGCGCCAATAACAATCTACTTATATATATATATCTCTTTATTTTTCATACTCAGATTGAATATGTCCTTTAGCAAGTCAGAAGAAGTGGACGGAAGCCATAACATGAGTGACAGATCGTTGGTAAAGAATGGATTTTTTAATTATTTGCGCGACTTCTGTCAACGCAATAGTGCCCTGAGCTGGCCGGAAATCGCAAGGGAGGGGGCCCGGTCCTGGAAACACCTGAGCGAGGAGGAAAAGAGTCGCTACCAAATCATGTCCAGCACTGACACGGACATCGTTGCCTTGCAAATGAACAATAAAATGTGCAACCATCCAATGGGCAGAATGGGCGGCGGCATGATAAATAAAATTCGGCCCAATAAAATTCAAAAGCTCATTTTCTCCTTGGATGGTAAGTAAACAAAATAAAATCGAACTAATTCAATTTTTATATTAATACAATTTGTATTTCTTAGAAGACGACTTTGTGATGGAAACGACACGGCCAATCTGTTATCTTAATATTTCAAATGACTTATAAATCCCAGATTATAGCTTGTGTTTTCTTTAACTCAACAATTTCAAATACCATTTATTTATTCGATATATTAGCTTACGCTTAAAATTTTTCTCTTATTTCATAATCTTTCATTATTTTACATTCTACACAACATTATACACAAATCTCAATTCTTATTCTCATTGCAAAATCGAATTCATTTTAACATTTAATTCATTCCATTTGCTTCTCAGCTATTGAATAACCCTTTTCTATTATCAAAAAAAACATAACACAACACTGAATTTAGTATTTTTATCAGACCTATAGTCTGGTCACATTTGAATTTGCCTCTTTCCTTTTTTTGAAAAAGAACAAAAGTATAAAAATCCCGCAGGATATCCCCTTCTGGTTCCGGCCTCCGGTTCCTCGCTGATTAAGTGACTTTTCGACAGGACACAACTCTGCGGTCTCTGGGGCAGGCACTCACTACATCAGTTTCCCTTCATGCAGGACAAACTAATTTTATTGCACTTAATAGTGGGCATAGTGGACAAAAATGGGCATTGCATAATCGAATTCATTTTAACATTTAATTCATTCCATTTGCTTCTCAGCTATTGAATAACCCTATTCTATTATCAAAATAAAACATAACACAACACTGAATTTAGTATTTTGATCAGACCTATAGTCTGGTCACATTTGAATTTGCCTCTTTCCTTTTTTTGAAAAAGAACAAAAGTATAAAAATCCCGCAGGATATCCCCTTCTGGTTCCGGCCTCCGGTTCCTCGCTGATTAAGTGACTTTTCGACAGGACACAACTCTGCGGTTTCTGGGGCAGGCAGTCACTACATCAGTTTCCCTTCATGCAGGACAAACTAATTTTATTGCACTTAATAGTGGGCATAGTGGACAAAAATGGGCAGTTGAGAGGGGAGCGCCAATAACAATCTACTTATATATATATATCTCTTTATTTTTCATACTCAGATTGAATATGTCCTTTAGCAAGTCAGAAGAAGTGGACGGAAGCCATAACATGAGTGACAGATCGTTGGTAAAGAATGGATTTTTTAATTATTTGCGCGACTTCTGTCAACGCAATAGTGCCCTGAGCTGGCCGGAAATCGCAAGGGAGGGGGCCCGGTCCTGGAAACACCTGAGCGAGGAGGAAAAGAGTCGCTACCAAATCATGTCCAGCACTGACACGAACATTGTTGCCTTGCAAATGAACAATAAAATGTGCAACCATCCAATGGGCAGAATGGGCGGCGGCATGATAAATAAAATTCGGCCCAATAAAATTCAAAAGCTCATTTTCTCCTTGGATGGTAAGTAAACAAAATAAAATCTAACTAATTAAATTTTTATATTAATACAATTTGTATTTCTTAGAAGACGACTTTGTGATGGAAACGACACGGCCAATCTGTTATCTTAATATTTCAAATGACTTATAAATCCCAGATTATAGCTTGTGTTTTCTTTAACTCATCAATTTCAAATACCATTTATTTATTCGATATATTAGCTTACGCTTAAAATTTTTCTCTTATTTCATAATCTTTCATTATTTTGCATTCTACACAACATTATACACAAATCTCAATTCTTATTCTCATTGCAAAATCGAATTCATTTTAACATTTAATTCATTCCATTTGCTTCTCAGCTATTGAATAACCCTATTCTATTATCAAAAAAAACATAACACAACACTGAATTTAGTATTTTTATCAGACCTATAGTCTGGTCACATTTGAATTTGCCTCTTTCCTTTTTTTGAAAAAGAACAAAAGTATAAAAATCCCGCAGGATATCCCCTTCTGGTTCCGGCCTCCGGTTCCTCGCTGATTAAGTGACTTTTCGACAGGACACAACTCTGCGGTCTCTGGGGCAGGCACTCACTACATCAGTTTCCCTTCATGCAGGACAAACTAATTTTATTGCACTTAATAGTGGGCATAGTGGACAAAAATGGGCATTGCATAATCGAATTCATTTTAACATTTAATTCATTCCATTTGCTTCTCAGCTATTGAATAACCCTATTCTATTATCAAAATAAAACATAACACAACACTGAATTTAGTATTTTGATCAGACCTATAGTCTGGTCACATTTGAATTTGCCTCTTTCCTTTTTTTGAAAAAGAACAAAAGTATAAAAATCCCGCAGGATATCCCCTTCTGGTTCCGGCCTCCGGTTCCTCGCTGATTAAGTGACTTTTCGACAGGACACAACTCTGCGGTTTCTGGGGCAGGCAGTCACTACATCAGTTTCCCTTCATGCAGGACAAACTAATTTTATTGCACTTAATAGTGGGCATAGTGGACAAAAATGGGCAGTTGAGAGGGGAGCGCCAATAACAATCTACTTATATATATATATCTCTTTATTTTTCATACTCAGATTGAATATGTCCTTTAGCAAGTCAGAAGAAGTGGACGGAAGCCATAACATGAGTGACAGATCGTTGGTAAAGAATGGATTTTTTAATTATTTGCGCGACTTCTGTCAACGCAATAGTGCCCTGAGCTGGCCGGAAATCGCAAGGGAGGGGGCCCGGTCCTGGAAACACCTGAGCGAGGAGGAAAAGAGTCGCTACCAAATCATGTCCAGCACTGACACGGACATCGTTGCCTTGCAAATGAACAATAAAATGTGCAACCATCCAATGGGCAGAATGGGCGGCGGCATGATAAATAAAATTCGGCCCAATAAAATTCAAAAGCTCATTTTCTCCTTGGATGGTAAGTAAACAAAATAAAATCGAACTAATTCAATTTTTATATTAATACAATTTGTATTTCTTAGAAGACGACTTTGTGATGGAAACGACACGGCCAATCTGACAATTACACGTCCTCGTGTACTGTAATCTTAATATTTCAAATGACTTATAAATCCCAGATTATAGCTTGTGTTTTCTTTAACTCATCAATTTCAAATACCATTTATTTATTCGATATATTATCTTACGCTTAAAATTTTTCTCTTATTTCATAATCTTTCATTATTTTACATTCTACACAACATTATACACAAATTTCAATTCTTATTCTCATTGCAAAATCGAATTCATTTTAACATTTAATTCATTCCATTTGCTTCTCAGCTATTGAATAACCCTATTCTATTATCAAAAAAAACATAACACAACACTGAATTTAGTATTTTTATCAGACCTATAGTCTGGTCACATTTAAATTTGCCTCTTTCCTTTTTTTGAAAAAGAACAAAAGTATAAAAATCCCGCAGGATATCCCCTTCTGGTTCCGGCCTCCGGTTCCTCGCTGATTAAGTGACTTTTCAACAGGACACAACTCTGCGGTCTCTGGGGCAGGCACTCACTACATCAGTTTCCCTTCATGCAGGACAAACTAATTTTATTGCACTTAATAGTGTTCATAGTGGACAAAAATGGGCATTGCATAATCGAATTCATTTTAACATTTAATTCATTCCATTTGCTTCTCAGCTATTGAATAACCCTATTCTATTATCAAAATAAAACATAACACAACACTGAATTTAGTATTTTGATCAGACCTATAGTCTGGTCACATTTGAATTTGCCTCTTTCCTTTTTTTGAAAAAGAACAAAAGTATAAAAATCCCGCAGGATATCCCCTTCTGGTTCCGGCCTCCGGTTCCTCGCTGATTAAGTGACTTTTCGACAGGACACAACTCTGCGGTCTCTGGGGCAGGCAGTCACTACATCAGTTTCCCTTCATGCAGGACAAACTAATTTTATTGCACTTAATAGTGGGCATAGTGGACAAAAATGGGCAGTTGAGAGGGGAGCGCCAATAACAATCTACTTATATATATATATCTCTTTATTTTTCATACTCAGATTGAATATGTCCTTTAGCAAGTCAGAAGAAGTGGACGGAAGCCATAACATGAGTGACAGATCGTCGGTAAAGAATGGATTTTTTAATTATTTGCGCGACTTCTGTCAACGCAATAGTGCCCTGAGCTGGCCGGAAATCGCAAGGGAGGGGGCCCGGTCGTGGAAACACCTGAGCGAGGAGGAAAAGAGTCGCTACCAAATCATGTCCAGCACTGACACGGACATCGTTGCCTTGCAAATGAACAATAAAATGTGCAACCATCCAACGGGCAGAATGGGCGACGGCATGATAAATAAAATTCGGCCCAATAAAACTCAAAAGCTCATTTTCTCCTTGGATGGTAAGTAAACAAAATAAAATCGAACTAATTCAATTTTTATATTAATACAATTTGTATTTCTTAGAAGACGACTTTGTGATGGAAACGACACGGCCAATCTGACAATTACACGTCCTCGTGTACTGTAATCTTAATATTTCAAATGACTTATAAATCCCAGATTATAGCTTGTGTTTTCTTTAACTCATCAATTTCAAATACCATTTATTTATTCGATATATTATCTTACGCTTAAAATTTTTCTCTTATTTCATAATCTTTCATTATTTTACATTCTACACAACATTATACACAAATTTCAATTCTTATTCTCATTGCAAAATCGAATTCATTTTAACATTTAATTCATTCCATTTGCTTCTCAGCTATTGAATAACCCTATTCTATTATCAAAAAAAACATAACACAACACTGAATTTAGTATTTTTATCAGACCTATAGTCTGGTCACATTTAAATTTGCCTCTCTCCTTTTTTTGAAAAAGAACAAAAGTATAAAAATCCCGCAGGATATCCCCTTCTGGTTCCGGCCTCCGGTTCCTCGCTGATTAAGTGACTTTTCGACAGGACACAACTCTGCGGTCTCTGGGGCAGGCACTCACTACATCAGTTTCCCTTCATGCAGGACAAACTAATTTTATTGCACTTAATAGTGGGCATAGTGGACAAAAATGGGCAGTTGAGAGGGGAGCGCCAATAACAATCTACTTTTATATATATATCTCTTTATTTTTCATACTCAGATTGAATATGTCCTTTAGCAAGTCAGAAGAAGTGGACGGAAGCCATAACATGAGTGACAGATCGTTGGTAAAGAATGGATTTTTTAATTATTTGCGCGACTTCTGTCAACGCAATAGTGCCCTGAGCTGGCCGGAAATCGCAAGGGAGGGGGCCCGGTCCTGGAAACACCTGAGCGAGGAGGAAAAGAGTCGCTACCAAATCATGTCCAGCACTGACACGGACATCGTTGCCTTGCAAATGAACAATAAAATGTGCAACCATCCAATGGGCAGAATGGGCGGCGGCATGATAAATAAAATTCGGCCCAATAAAATTCAAAAGCTCATTTTCTCCTTGGATGGTAAGTAAACAAAATAAAATCGAACTAATTCAATTTTTATATTAATACAATTTGTATTTCTTAGAAGACGACTTTGTGATGGAAACGACACAGCCAATCTGACAATTTCACGTCCTCGTGTACTGTAATCTTAATATTTCAAATGACTTATAAATCCCAGATTATAGCTTGTGTTTTCTTTAACTCATCAATTTCAAATACCATTTATTTATTCGATATATTATCTTACGCTTAAAATGTTTCTCTTATTTCATAATCTTTCATTATTTTACATTCTAAACAACATTATACACAAATTTCAATTCTTATTCTCATTGCATAATCGAATTCATTTTAACATTTAATTCATTCCATTTGCTTCTCACCTATTGAATAACCCTATTCTATTATCAAACAAGAAAGAAAGCAAACTTCGGCAAGCCGAAGTTCATATACCCTTGCAGCTATTGCAAGAATTAAACATTTTTGAAAACATTAAAATTATGATTTACTTTCGTATATGTTTAAAAACATTGAAGCTATGATGATTTGCAGCTCAATTATTTGATAGTTATTTTATATATTTTTATTATTTCTTAGGGAGCTATATGATATAGAGTCCGATTTTGATAAAATTTAAACCATAATTCTGAAATATTTAACCATTGCTATATGTCGAAGAACTAAACAAAAAATTAAAAAACAGAAAAGTTAAAATTTTTTTCATTTATTTTTCCGATTGTTCCTATGAGAGCTATATGATATAGTCGTCCGACTTTGATGAAATTTAAACCGTAAATCGGAAATATTTAACCATTACTAAATGTCGAAGAACAAAACAAAAAAATAAAAAACAGAAAAGTTATAATTTTTTTTCATTTATTTTTCCGATTGTTCCTATGGGAGCTATATGCTATAGTCGTCCGATTTTGATGAAATTTAAACCGTAAATCGGAAATATTTAACCATTACTAAATGTCGAAGAACTAAACAAAAAATTGAAAAACAGCAAAGTTATAATTTTTTCATTTCTTTTTCCGATTGTTCCTATGGGAGCTATATGCTATAGTCGTCCGATTTTGATGAAATTTAAACCGTAAATCGGAAAAATTTAACCATTACTAAATGTCGAAGAACTAAACAAAAAATTAAAAAACAGCAAAGTTATAATTTTTTTCATTTATTTTTCCGTTTGTTCCTATGGGAGCTATATGCTATAGTCGTCCGATCCGGCTCGTTCCGACTTATATACTACCTGCAATAGAAAGACAACTTTTGGGAAAGTTTCATGCAGATAGCTTTAAAACTGAGAGACTAGTTTGCATATAAACGGACGGACAGACGGACAGGCGGACGGACAGACGGACATGGCTAGATCGACTCGCCTAGTGATGCTGATCAAGAATATATATACTTTATAGGGTCGGAGATGTCTCCTTCACTGCGTTGCAAACTTCTGACTGAAATTATAATACCCTCTGCAAGGGTATAAAAAAACATAACACAACACTGAATTTAGTATTTTGATCAGACCTATAGTCTGGTCACATTTGAATTTGCCTCTTTCCTTTTTTTGAAAAAGAACAAAAGTATAAAAATACCGCAGGATATCCCCTTCTGGTTCCGGCCTCCGGTTCCTCGCTTATTAAGTGACTTTTCGACAGGACACAACTCTGCGGTCTCTGGGGCAGGCAGTCACTACATCAGTTTCCCTTCATGCAGGACAAACTAATTTTATTGCACTTAATAGTGGGCATAGTGGACAAAAATGGGCAGTTGAGAGGGGAGCGCCAATAACAATCTACTTATATATATATATCTCTTTATTTTTCATACTCAGATTGAATATGTCCTTTAGCAAGTCAGAAGAAGTGGACGGAAGCCATAACATGAGTGACAGATCGTTGGTAAAGAATGGATTTTTTAATTATTTGCGCGACTTCTGTCAACGCGATAGTGCCCTGAGCTGGCCGGAAATCGCAAGGGAGGGGGCCCGGTCCTGGAAACACCTGAGCGAGGAGGAAAAGAGTCGCTACCAAATCATGTCCAGCACTGACACGGACATCGTTGCCTTGCAAATGAACAATAAAATGTGCAACCATCCAATGGGCAGAATGGGCGGCGGCATGATAAATAAAATTCGGCCCAATAAAATTCAAAAGCTCATTTTCTTCTTGGATGGTAAGTAAACAAAATAAAATCGAACTAATTCAATTTTTATATTAATACAATTTGTATTTCTTAGAATACGACTTTGTGATGGAAACGACACAGCCAATCTGACAATTTCACGTCCTCGTGTACTGTAATCTTAATATTTCAAATGACTTATAAATCCCAGATTATAGCTTGTGTTTTCTTTAACTCATCAATTTCAAATACCATTTATTTATTCGATATATTATCTTACGCTTAAAATTTTTCTCTTATTTCATAATCTTTCATTATTTTACATTCTAAACAACATTATACACAAATTTCAATTCTTATTCTCATTGCATAATCGAATTCATTTTAACATTTAATTCATTCCATTTGCTTCTCAGCTATTGAATAATCCTATTCTATTATCAAAAAAAACATAACACAACACTGAATTTAGTATTTTGATCAGACCTATAGTCTGGTCACATTTGAATTTGCCTCTTTCCTTTTTTTGAAAAAGAACAAAAGTATAAAAATCCCGCAGGATATCCCCTTCTGGTTCCGGCCTCCGGTTCCTCGCTGATTAAGTGACTTTTCGACAGGACACAACTCTGCGGTCTCTGGGGCAGGCACTCACTACATCAGTTTCCCTTCATGCAGGACAAACTAATTTTATTGCACTTAATAGTGGGCATAGTGGACAAAAATGGGCAGTTGAGAGGGGAGCGCCAATAACAATCTACTTATATATATATATCTCTTTATTTTTCATACTCAGATTGAATATGTCCTTTAGCAAGTCAGAAGAAGTGGACGGAAGCCATAACATGAGTGACAGATCGTTGGTAAAGAATGGATTTTTTAATTATTTGCGCGACTTCTGTCAACGCGATAGTGCCCTGAGCTGGCCGGAAATCGCAAGGGAGGGGGCCCGGTCCTGGAAACACCTGAGCGAGGAGGAAAAGAGTCGCTACCAAATCATGTCCAGCACTGACACGGACATCGTTGCCTTGCAAATGAACAATAAAATGTGCAACCATCCAATGGGCAGAATGGGCGGCGGCATGATAAATAAAATTCGGCCCAATAAAATTCAAAAGCTCATTTTCTCCTTGGATGGTAAGTAAACAAAATAAAATCAAACTAATTCAATGTTTATATTAATACAATTTGTATTTCTTAGAAGACGACTTTGTGATGGAAACGACACGGCCAATCTGACAATTACACGTCCTCGTGTATTGTAATCTTAATATTTCAAATGACTTATAAATCCCAGATTATAGCTTGTGTTTTCTTTAACTCATCAATTTCAAATACCATTTATTTATTCAATATATTATCTTACGCTTAACATTTTTCTCTTATTTCATAATCTTTCATTATTTTACATTCTAAACAACATTATACACAAATTTCAATTCTTATTCTCATTGCATAATCGAATTCATTTTAACATTTAATTCATTCCATTTGCTTCTCAGCTATTGAATAATCCTATTCTATTATCAAAAAAAAACATAACACAACACTGAATTTAGTATTTTGATCAGACCTATAGTCTGGTCACATTTGAATTTGCCTCTTTCCTTTTTTTGAAAAAGAACAAAAGTATAAAAATCCCGCAGGATATCCCCTTCTGGTTCCGGCCTCCGGTTCCTCGCTGATTAAGTGACTTTTCGACAGGACACAACTCTGCGGTCTCTGGGGCAGGCACTCACTACATCAGTTTCCCTTCATGCAGGACAAACTAATTTTATTGCACTTAATAGTGGGCATAGTGGACAAAAATGGGCAGTTGAGAGGGGAGCGCCAATAACAATCTACTTTTATATATATATATCTCTTTATTTTTCATACTCAGATTGAATATGTCCTTTAGCAAGTCAGAAGAAGTGGACGGAAGCCATAACATGAGTGACAGATCGTTGGTAAAGAATGGATTTTTTAATTATTTGCGCGACTTCTGTCAACGCGATAGTGCCCTGAGCTGGCCGGAAATCGCAAGGGAGGGGGCCCGGTCCTGGAAACACCTGAGCGAGGAGGAAAAGAGTCGCTACCAAATCATGTCCAGCACTGACACGGACATCGTTGCCTTGCAAATGAACAATAAAATGTGCAACCATCCAATGGGCAGAATGGGCGGCGGCATGATAAATAAAATTCGGCCCAATAAAATTCAAAAGCTCATTTTCTCCTTGGATGGTAAGTAAACAAAATAAAATCAAACTAATTCAATGTTTATATTAATACAATTTGTATTTCTTAGAAGACGACTTTGTGATGGAAACGACACGGCCAATCTGACAATTACACGTCCTCCTGTATTGTAATCTTAATATTTCAAATGACTTATAAATCCCAGATTATAGCTTGTGTTTTCTTTAACTCATCAATTTCAAATACCATTTATTTATTCAATATATTATCTTACGCTTAACATTTTTCTCTTATTTCATAATCTTTCATTATTTTACATTCTACACAACATTATACACAAATTTCAATTCTTATTCTCATTGCAAAATCGAATTCATTTTAACATTTAATTCATTCCATTTGCTTCCCAGCTATTGAATAACCCTATTCTATTATCAAAAAAAACATAACACAACACTGAATTTAGTATTTTTATCAGACCTATAGTCTGGTCACATTTAAATTTGCCTCTTTCCTTTTTTTGAAAAAGAACAAAAGTATAAAAATCCCGCAGGATATCCCCTTCTGGTTCCGGCCTCCGGTTCCTCGCTGATTAAGTGACTTTTCGACAGGACACAACTCTGCGGTCTCTGGGGCAGGCACTCACTACATCAGTTTCCTTTCATGCAGGACAAACTAATTTTATTGCACTTAATAGTGGGCATAGTGGACAAAAATGGGCAGTTGAGAGGGGAGCGCCAATAACAATCTACTTTTATATATATATCTCTTTATTTTTCATACTCAGATTGAATATGTCCTTTAGCAAGTCAGAAGAAGTGGACGGAAGCCATAACATGAGTGACAGATCGTTGGTAAAGAATGGATTTTTTAATTATTTGCGCGTCTTCTGTCAACGCGATAGTGCCCTGAGCTGGCCGGAAATCGCAAGGGAGGGGCCCGGTCCTGGAAACACCTGAGCGAGGAGGAAAAGAGTCGCTACCAAATCATGTCCA